ATCAAGAAATACCACTTAGAAACAAGGAAGATCAAGGAAGCACTGGAAATAATAAAGCAACAAATAACAGCTATAGCCAGGAAAATCAGTAGATATGAAGCTCGAATTGCAAACTATAGGCAGAACCTCCAATTTCAATCCAATCAGAAACGTTTCTACCAATCCATCAATGGAGAAACTGCAAGGAATCAGTCAGTACCTGACAAGGAAGAAACAGTGCAGTTCTGGAAGCAGATATGGGATAACCCAAAGAAATACAACAAGGATGCGGCTTGGTTAAAAGAGGTGGATGCAAATAAAACAGAAGTTGAAATGAAAGAACTAGTAATAACAACAAAAATGGTAGAAAAAAGAGCAAAGAAAATCAAAAATTGGTCAGCACCAGGTGAAGATGAACTGCATGGGTTTTGGTTGAAACATCTAACTGTTATACACCCACTCATTGCCAAGCAGTTCAACAATATACTACAAGGAGGAGAAATTGAAAAGTGGCTAACAACTGGGAAAACCTACCTAATAATGAAAAATCCAGCAAAAGGGGCAACACCAGGCAACTACAGGCCAATTACCTGCTTACCAACAACTTTCAAATTACTAACTGGTGTGGTAGCTGATGCAGTACAACAGCATCTAGTTGAAAACAATCTCTTTCCACCTGAGCAGAAAGGAAACCGCCCCAATAGCAGAGGAACAAAAGATCAACTCCTAATAGACAAAATGATCTTGGAAAACTGCAAGAGAAGGAAGACCAACCTGAATGTGGCATGGATTGACTACAAAAAGGCATTTGACTCTCTGCCACATGATTGGATAATAAAGTGCCTAGAAATAACAGGAGTCAGTAGAAACATCAGAAAATTTGTGCAAAGATCGATGGCACAATGGAAGACACAGTTGCAATCAATGGTGAGAAGCTGGGAGAGGTTAATATCAAGAGAGGAATATTTCAAGGAGATTCATTATCACCATTACTATTTGTTATTGCACTGTTTCCTCTGTCAACAATACTGAATAACTCAGGACATGGCTATCAAACATCAAAAACATCTGCCAGACTATCCCACCTCCTTTATATGGATGATCTGAAGCTGTATGGAAAAACATCATCTGAAATAGAATCGCTGCTCAACACTGTCCGTATATATAGCCAAGATATTGTAATGGAGTTTGGCTTGGACAAATGTGCCACACTTACTATCAAACAAGGAAAAATAATGAAAACTGAAGGAATCAAGATGCCCCACGAAAATAACATTAAGAGTCTGGATGAGGAAGAGTACTACAAATACTTGGGTATCCTTCAAGCTGACAATATCAAGCACACTGAAGTCAAGAAAAAGATTAGAGGTGAATACATCAAGAGAGTGAAGAAGATCTTAAAGTCCAAACTCAATGGAGGAAATACCATAAAGGCAATCAACACCTGGGCAATCCCAGTCATTAGGTACACAGCTGGAATAGTGGACTGGACTCAAGCAGAACTAAAAGCAATGGATAGGCAGACCAGAAAAATAATGACAATGAATCATGCCCTTCATCCACGCAGTGACATTGATAGACTTTATCTACCAAGGCAAATAGGTGGGCGTGGAATGCTACAAGTACATCAGATGGTTGAAGAAGAAAAAATGGCTTTGGAAGAATATCTGAAGAACAATGATGAAGATGCACTGAAATTAGTATATCAGGAAGGCTTACTAACTACTGGAGAGACCAAACTGGCCTACAAGAAAGACCAAATGAAGAACAGAATAGAGGCATGGGAAGACAAAGCACTACATGGCCAATACATGAAAAAAATAGCTGGGAAAGCAGATAATAATAAAACCTGGCAATGGCTAAGAGCAGGAAAATTGAAGAAAGAGACTGAGGGACTAATTCTAGCTGCACAAGACCAAGCCTTAAGGACAAATGCATACAAAGTCAAAATTGAGAAGACAGCAAAAGACCGTAAGTGCCGCCTATGCAAAGAAGCTGAAGAAACAGTGGACCACTTGGTAAGCTGTTGCAAGAAGATTGCACAGACTGATTATAAGCAGCGGCATGACAAAGTAGCAACAATGGTGCATTGGAAGATCTGCAAAAAATATCATTTGCCTGTAAGCAAAAACTGGTGGGATCATAAAATAGAGAAAGTCATAGAAAATGATAAAATTAAACTGCTCTGGGACTTCAGAATTCAAACAGACAAGCACCTGCAACATAACACCCCAGACTTAACAATTGTCGATAAGAAAGACAAAAAAGTCTGGATAGTGGACGTGGCAGTGCTGGAGATAGCAGAATAGAAGAGAAAGAACTGGAGAAGATAACAAAATACAAAGACCTACAAATAGAAATAGAAAGACTGTGGCAAAAGCAAGCAAGGGTAGTACCAATAGTCATAGGCTCCTTGGGTGCAATCCCAAAACAACTGGAGCACCACTTGAACACCATTGGCATTGACAAATTTGCTATTAGTCAATTGCAAAAGGCGGCCTTATTAGGAACTGCTTCCATCCTGCGACGATACCTGTAATACCATCAAACATCCACATCTGCCTATCCAGGTCCTGGGTAAGGACTCGATAGGTAGACAAAATGCCAAATCCAGTCTGAACATCTGGCTGACTGTGCGATGATCCATAATAATAATAATAATAATAATAATAATAATAATAATAATAATAATAATAATAATAATAATAATAATAATAATAATAATAAAGTTGGAAGGGATCTTGGAGGTCATCGAGTCCAACCCTCTGCTCAGGCAGGAAACCCTACACCATTTCAGTCAAATGACTGTCCAGTCTTTTCTTAAAAACTTCCAGTGTTGGAGCATTCATCACTTCTGGAGGCAAGTTGTTCCACTGGTTAATTGTTCTAACTGTCAGGAAGTTTCTCCTTAGTTCTAGGTTGCTTCTCTCTTTGATTAGTTTCCATCCATTGCTTTTTGTCCTGCCTTCAGGCGCTTTGGAGAATAGCTTGACTCCTTCTTCTTTGTGGCAGCCCCTGAGATATTGGAACACTGCTATCATGTCCCCCCTTGCCCTTCTCTTCGTTAAACTAGACATACCCAATTCCAGCAATCGTTCCTTATATGTTTTAGCCTCCAGTCCCCTAATCATCTTTGTTGCTCTTCTCTATACTTTTTCTAGAGTCTCAATATCTTTTTTACATCATGGTGACCAAAACTGAATGCAATTTTCCAAGTATGGCCTTACCAAGGCATTGCAAAGTGGTATTAATACTTGATCTTGATTCTATCCCTCTGTTAATGCAGCCCAGCCCTGTGTTGGCTTTTTTGGCAGCACACGGCTGGCTCATATTTAAGTGATTGTCCACTAGGACTCCGAGATCCCTCTCAGTGTTGGCTATTCCTGCCAGCTTGGTATCATCCACAAATTTGATGAGTTCCCTATCTATCCCCTAGTCCAAATCGTTGATGAAGATATTGAAAAGCACTGGGCCCAGAATAGAGCCCTGGGGCACCCCATTACACACTTCCCTCCATGTTGATGCGGTTCCATTGAGGGCCACATGCTGAGTATGGCTGGTCAGCCAGCTACGAATTCATCTGGTGGTGATGCTGTCTAACCCACATTTTTCTATCTTATTGAGTAATAGGTTGTGATCTAAGTTGTGATTTAATTTCTTTTCATTCTCTCTTTTTGAACTTTTTATCCTTCCTTCCTTCCCTTTCTTTCTTTCTTTCTTGATTTCTTCTGCTCTTCATTAGTTTGTGTTAGTTTTTATGTTTTTTGTAAAACTTTTAGTAAAGAAAGAAATGGAAATAAAAATGAATTAAGGAAAACAAAAAATGCTATGTTATAACCATAGAGTAAGAAGTAAATTTATAATTTACAACTATTATAAAGAAAATCAAAAGCTATTGCTTGAATCTTTTTATTTCTTTTCCTTTCTTTTCCTATTTTTTCCCTTTCTTGCATTTCTAGCTTTCTCTTTGATTTCTTTTTTTCTTACATTAGTTTGTATTCATTTTTGTTTTCCTTTTAAAATAAATTTAGTAAAAATTATATAATACCAAAGCTGAATAATAAACAGACTATAAATATGGCAGAGCTGGAGACGGAGGTGAGGCAATTAGGGTGGGAGGTGGGGGAGGGTGGGAAAGGTGAGGAAAAAGTTACTTGCTAAAACAAACTGGTCTGCAATTTGGGTAGTATAATTATTATTGACTCCAAAATTTGTTTGAAAGAGGGCAGAGCATGTTATCTTAGAATCTGGATAAGGCTTATCTGGTATGGTTACAGAGCCCTCCAATGGTTCTAGAAGAAAGGAATATGGCATTTGCACTTATTTATTCATATATTCTTTTTATTTATGTTGTACGGCTAGCAGCCAGTGTAAGAAGTGTCATGAGCCAGTGTGGTGTCATGAGATAGCAAGGCAAAAGGAAATCCCATTCTCAACTGCCAGCTTTTTACTAGTAAATTATATGTAAATGTGACTTAATTTTTTTTTATTCCCACGCCCATTTGTGAAAGTTACTGTAGTATGCCTTTTAAAGTGACTTTGTGATAAGAAAAAGGCTGGATGGACTGCTAAACCTGTTGGCTGCTGACACAAGTTCAGACAGGAGAATTTGAATAAAATATCTATGATATTAGCAATCATATGCAAGTAGAGTAGACTATAGACAACTGAGGTATACTAATGTTTCTCAGCCTTAGCAACCCTATGATATATGGAGTTCAACTCCCAGAATTTCAAGTCAACATGCAAAAGAGTCCCAGAATGAGTCCTTGGCATTCCCAGTCTGAAAACTTTCACAACTGTCAGCTAAAGCCGTCAACTACTCAAATAGTGTCAACAATATTGGGCCTGATTCAGTAATCAGTATGGTTATGTTCCCATGATACTCTTAATCAGGGCTATCAGATCTAGGCTGCAAAAGTCCAAACAGCCTTCAATGGCAGCAAAGGAATACAAAAACACCTTGCTGCCATCCAGTGGCTTCTGGAGTTTTTAAACCTTGATCTGATAAACATGCCCTTATCGCTTCTCGGTCTTTTGGCTAAGATCAAGTGTAGTATCTGTTCTTATCAGTTTAATATTTGATATGTTCTCTTTCTGAGAACTAAATATTAAATGGATTTTTGGAACTGGGAGATTTGGCTAAGAGCTAGAAATAAAAAACAACAACATGCCCTTCACTGAATCACTGGGGGCAAGGTGTGGTGAGTGTATTGTAGAAACACCAAAAAGGGATCAACCGACCCAGGTTAACTATCGGGGTTACAGGTATATGCAAAATGAATGAGTCTTCACCCAGTCACAAATAAAATCAATCAAATGATCATTTTATTTTACTTAACCATGCAGGAAAAATGCTGAATAAAAAAACTGATTTGGTAAGAAGTTTCTTTATAGGGTAGTAGAAGGCAGTGCTGAAGTTTGGAAGCTTAGAACACCTTTCAAAAACCTTGATTAGCTGCAGTGGCCAGGCAAATTACCCTAGTATTTCCTTAGTCAATGGGGAAAGGGGTGGCTAATAATAAAATGAATATTTTATTTTTGATCTACACTATATAGATCAGTCTGATGCAAAGATTTATGGCATAGTAGTTACTTCCTGGAAAAAGTTGGCTGAACCAGCTAGTTTTGACAGAGAGCTGCCAGCATCACAGCTAATGATAATTCACAGAATCAGTAGGTGTTACATGTGTTATGAGAACAGAACTTTTTAAAAACAGCATTCCAAGTTCCTGATTCAAGATTCACAATCTGACTAATTTAAGGCTTACTTTCACTCTCAAGAAAGAGATAATTGAGAATGGTTAATTATCTTGGTCCTACTCTAATAAATGTCACAGTATGCTCACTCTTCCTATTTTTTTATTAAATGCAGTTAATATGATAATACCCCATGCATTTTATTACTTCCTTGTGTCAAAGAAGACACATCTAGGTGCACACAAAACATTATAACAACAGTGTAAAAAGCATGGCCTGGAATTTCAAGTGTCTCTTGAGTAGTCCCCATGCTCACTAGAATGAAGATGTTCAAAACTTTCTTCTTCTTCTTCTTCTTCTTCTTCTTCTTCTTCTTCTTCTTCTTCTTCTTCTTCTTCTTCTTCTTCTTCTTCTTCTTCTTCTTCTTCTTCTTCTTCTTCTTCTTCTTCTTCTTCTTCTCCTCCTCCTCCTCTTCCTCCTCCTCCTCCTCCTCCTCCTCCTCATCCTCATCCTCATCCTCTTTGTCATTTTTATAGCAACATGCCATTCATACCCTGCTACAATACTTTAGTTTTGCAAGTTACCCACTCCTCTGCAAGATCCTAAACCTAGATTAACAAAATTCAATTGCTGTGCTTATTGCTGTGTTTTGAGATGTTAAGGCAGCACTAGAACTCAGGGTCTCCTGGATTTTAGCCTGGTATTGTAACCACTACACTAAATAGATTCTCTCTACTTACACATACTTACCAGCAATAATTTCTCTATGCACATTTATATCCTCTCCTTCCTTCAAGTGGTTGGCCTTGAACTATATCTGCCCTGAATTTGTGCTGGTAAGAAACAAACATATAATGAGATTATGTAGTTTGAATCATGTAGTTGCTTTAGGCAGCAAGCTAGAAATTAGGAGACCAGATTTCGAGGCCCACCGTAATTATAAAGCCAGCTGGTTGACCTTGGGTCAGTCACTCTTTCTCAGCCTTCCTTTCTCATGCGGGCAGCAGTAACAAACCACGTCTGAAATCTTGCCAAGAAAACTGTAGAGGTAGTCCAGGCAGATGCCAGGAGTCAACACTGACTCAAAGGCATGCATGTGTGTGTATGTGCGCACACACAAAACAACTCCCTCCCAGAGATTATTTACAGAGGCACAAACCTTTTTCACCATGACAAATATAATATGCAATAGCAACACAAATAATATACAGGTATACTAATGTACCTAATCATATTTCATAAAGTGTGTAGACTGGAGATGGAATGTCTCATCATTAGATAGTCTTTGAAATGTTCTGGACTTCGGCAAGTCATACAACTGGATATAGAAGGCAATAATTTTTACCAGATATTATATATCTGACCCATCTAGATCCATCTGATCCATCAAGATTTGTTGCATGTTTTGGAGATGTATGTCAGGCCTCCTTTATATGGTTTCCAATCATTAGCTTGCATCTGAGAAGTGCCACCAAGTCTTTTGAAATGATAAATATTTCAAGTTTCTTTCTGATGTTTCTATTAGATTGTGACCATGGTATTTTTCATACGGATGGCACAGTATGGTACAGCCCCATAGACTAGAGATGTTTTGTTTTATGGCTTCACATTTTCCACAATAGCTGAGTTCCCTATTTCAAGAGTGTGTGTTCAACAAGTTTGTGCTGTTACATCCTCATGTGCTGCTTTGTGCTGGCTCCTTGTTCCTACAGTAGGCAAATAACAAATGTAGCAATTTAGTGTGCAGGAGATGCTCAACAAGAACAGTTGCAGGGAATACACCCACAGTAGCATATAGTGCAATTGCCTCTTGTAAACATTTTTGTTGTGCTTAGTTGGCATTTTGTCTTCAGTCTCCACAATTTGTAGAACTTTCTGGATGGTTGTTATCAGTTTTCTTTCTTTCATCTTTCTGAAGATGAAAGCCCCAAATAAGTGCCATTAAAAGGAGGACCTATAACAGCTATGAGATATAAGTTGAGAAGATGAACTCAACATGAGACATTACAGTATTTACAGTGGTAGAAGGGTCCAGCTGAATGCAGAAATCAGTTGAATCCTTGAATGGGGAAGAAGGCAAAACAGGCATTTAAACAAGTGGCACTGTGTAATCCAGCAGCACTGATTAACAAAGGAAACAAGACCCAATACACATGCCTGCTTCCACATCCATAACTGGGAAACCAGACCTGCTCCATAGGAAGATGTTTGATTTTATAATGCCTCAATTTCTTTTTTTGTGTTAAAGAAACCACATGTGCCCAAAGACTGTAAGGCATAATAGGTCCAATTGCTATGAATGATAACACCTTCCTTTCTGATTATTTGCAATCTGAGAGAGCTATAGATGTTAGTTTGTCTGGATATCATACTAGAAGTCTCATGACCTCCCCCCTAAAGTTGGGGTATATGTATATAACTTTGTACAATGGCTGTATTCATGTAATTTTAAATTGTTTTTATATTTAGATTTTTATTGTATTGTAAGCCATCCAGAATCACTTTGGATATACATTTAATAATTAAATAAATTCATCACAGACCATTGAGAGGCTAGTCCCAACAAGAATCAAATTGGTCATATAGTGTCTTCTAGTGGTCAGTAGTGAATATAACCACTATAAATCATTTTTAATTGCCCAAAGACTTCATCCATTACATCCATTAAGATATTTTCTGATATTGTACTGTATTAGAAAAAGATTGTAGAAAGGTGGCTGGCTGGGGAATTCTGGGAGTTGAAGTCCACAAGTCTTAACAAGATTGGACACCTCTGCCCTACAGCTGAAGCATTGTTACAGTAAATCAAAACATGAGAGTGGGAATGAGGTTTTACTTCAAAAAGAAACACTAGGGAGAACAGTACTATCTGTATAGCTTCAGAAGCATGGCCTTAGTGCAGACATGTCAAACACAAGGCCCGGGGGCCGGATGCAGCCAGTGACGTGGTTTCGTGTGGCCCGTGAAGCCATCCTGAAAATAGTGCGGGAATGGTCCCTGCTGCCTTGGCCCCAGCCCAGGCCACCCGGGAGCCAATGTACAATTTTGTGGTGGCCAGCTATGCTGAAATGCATTCAGTCTTAGCTCCACAAAGCCATCTAGAAACAGCAAGGGACCAGACACTGCTGCATTGGCCCCACCCCGAGTGCATGGAAAGGTGTCATCCTTTGTGAGGAATGAAGAAATGCACCATCGCCTGGAAGTGGCCAGCAAATGGCCCTCGCCTACTTCACATATCCTGCTTGGGATTTCAGCAGGCTCTTCCAGTGGACCATGCCTTGGCGTTTGTCCTGGTCCAACCCCCTTCTGCCAGAGACCCTCAGATCTGTCCCACTCCTGCCCAGCCCCCACAGGCACCCTTGACGCGAATGATGTAGAGCTGGCCATGTTCACCCAGTAGGCCACACCCCCTCCAGCCACGCCCACCCAGTAGGCTGCACCCACTGTGGCCACACCTACCCGCCCCCCTGAGGACAATCACAATGCTGATGCGGCCTTCAATAAAATTGAGTTTGACACCCCTACCTTAGTGTGATATACAAACCAGTCACTGTCTACATTTTCACAATACAGTAAACTTTATTATTTCTAATTTGGGTTTGAATTAACCATAAATATCCACAGGAGAGTTGAGGGTAGGGGTTAGGATCATAAGTCACTTCAGTGCCATTGTAGTTTCGAATGGTCATTAAACAAATGGTTGTAAGTTGAGGACTACTTGTACATACTGAACAATAAACTAACCACAGTGCCTGGATTTTTACAATGAATTTTTACAGAATGAGGTCATGGAGCAGTGTTATTTTTCTACTGGTATCTATTTATCTACTCACATCTGCATGCTTTCAAACTGCTAGGTTGGCAGGAGCTGGGTCGAGGTTGGAAGCTCACCCCTTTGGGTGGCACTTGGGTCTCAAATCTGGGCTGCCGTCTTTTCAGCCAACCAGCCCAGCATCTTAAACGATGAGCCACCATGCCACCCAGGACAATAACAGGAGTAAGTAATAGTCACAACAACAATGATAAAACTAAAAAGGAAAGGGACTATTTCCTCTATGAGCCCCCCCCCACAAATTATCATTGGAGCCAGTTGTTCCATCATTTACATAATTATCTCAGTAGAGAGGCATGATAAGGATCTTCAGTGGGGCAGCCAACTTCATGCCACAATAGTTTTTTGCTCCTAAAGGATGCTATCGTAATCCAATTGGAGGGGCATGCATACAGGTATTTTCCCCCTGTGGCTGTACATGCAGATGTGGGGAATAAAACTGGAGCTTTGGACTCCTGCACAATAAATAAATAAATCTCCATAACTGAACTGTTATCCCTCAGACATGCGCAAACATATCTTTTAGATTAGGAAACCCGAGTTAATACATAGGCTCGTGTAAACAAGCATGGGCATTCTATACAAAACCTTTCTCCAACTGTGCTACTTAAGTCACCCATGTTTGTCCAATCATTCTAAAAAGACCAGAGAAGCCGATTCTAGTTAATGTGTAACCAGCTTCATTACCTTTCACCCTTTTCACATTTACCTTCCATTTTCTTAGGCACCTGCCACTCCCCTCGTGCGCAGACCCAGAAAGGAAGAGCACCGGGGAGAAAGCAGAGGAGCACACCCAGAGAGAGCATGAGTTCTGAGGTAAATAGTTTTCTCCCTGCAGGGTGTATTTGGAGAACAGTGAAAAGTATACAAGCAGGATAAACATTTCAGATTGAAACGCCGTGCCTAGTGGCCATGCACATTTTTTTTTTAAAACGGGGCAGGGGTAGGGTGTGCGGGTGTGCATGTAAACATGGGGGGATGGGAGAATCCTCTCCAACAGGAAACAACACATTTGCTGCTCCTTTAAACTTGAGGCAGAGTGGCTCAGAATCAGGAAACCAGACTCCTTTTTTAAGCAGAAGGTAAGCAATATGGAACTTCTTAAGTCTGTGTGTCTTGTATCTGAGGAAACCTGGAGCCAAGTTCTATATAAAGATAAAGGATATCAGTCCTTGAAAATCTGGATGACCCATGAAGGTCAATGTAATTTTGCAAAGCTAGTAATGCCTCTTCAAAATCTAGTTTACTGTGATTTTTTTTTAACCTGAATTAGCCAAATGCTTCTGCTGTTTTCACAACTTTTTTTTCATTTTTTCATTTTTTTTTCTTCTTCTTGCAACTACCTTAGACCATTGAGCAAAAATAAGAAGATTTTTTTCAGTTTGTGCTAAATGCAGTAATGCTTGACAGGAAAGGCAGATAATCCTAGAAAGAACCATGTGGTTTGAATCTTAAAGCTCACATTATCAGATCCAATTAGTAAGAGACAACCTGTTACCCTTCAGGGGTTATGGATTTCAATTTCCAGCAAAGGCAAGGGTTTGTAGCATACAAATAACTTGTACTGCCTATAATAGAGACATCTGTTGTCAGTATGCCTAGGCCAGCTCTACAGAAGCTCAAGAGAACAATTTTTTGAATTAGGACTAGATTTGCTAGATAGAGTGAGAATGACCTCAAGAAGGTCATTGGACTTTAGAAGAAACTACAGTAGCAAAGTTGTATATAACCGTTCTATAGCGTGTTTCTCAACCTCAGCAACTTTAAGATGCGTGGACTTCAGCTCCCAGGATTCCCCTTCCATGTTGGGGAAATCTACAATCTTAACGTTGCTGAGGCTGTCCAGGCTACCCAGCATCCCCCTAGCAGTTTTTGTCTTATAGCCTCTTTAATAACAAAATTCTCGGGGCGTACAGGATCGTTTTTCTTCAATGATTAATTTATAGGATTAATTTTCTGACAGAAATATCTTTTTCCCTAAATGTTTGAAATATTTCATAGTCTGTAAAATTCTGCTGCAGAGCTAAAGTCAGAGTATATGTCATCTTATAGTTCTTTGGTCTGCCCTGTACACTTTTTTGTTTTATGTTGGTTGGTCAATGATCATAATAAACAATATCTCCATTTTTTGCAATTCTTCTCAAACATACTGTCATCCCATAAAGCAAGAATCACAATTAACTGATGAGGCAGAAGGGCTTCTGTAAATTTTTTTATCCTGCCTTTATTTATTTTTTATAAACTCAGCAAACATCCTCACAATAACAACGCTGTGGGGTGAGTTGGGCTGAGAGAGTGTGACTGGCCCAAAGTGACCCAGCCGGCTTTCATGTCTAAGGCATGAATTTACTTATTCTGAATGGGCTAAAGAAAAACTTACTCTTTTCTTTACCAGGGAAGAAATTGACATGGAAAATATGAAGCTGTTTGTGTTATTTGTTTTCATAGTTTGTCACTTTTGAGAGCAATGTATTTAAAACAGAAGTTTCCCATCCACAGAAGCAATGAGAGACAGCAAAATTTCATGCAGTTGCCACTCCTGATCACAATGTAGCTTGATCAGCAGGAGATTCCTTTTGAACCAAATTGGAATTGACTTTTCTTCTACCAATCCCTCCTGCTTCTTTTAAGTCAGACAATTGGTCCTTTTCCTACTGGATTGTTCAGCATTCTAATGTTATTTCAGATTTATTTATTTTGCTTATCTTCCTTTTCTGGCTTGAATTTTCGGTTTTACTTTTTTGATAATGCCTCCTTCAACATCACTCCAGTGTGATATCCCAACTTGAATTGTAATTTTAAACAACCAGGACTGGATCATGGTATCACATTAGCGCTCAAGATCAGATATTACAAACACCACCACCACTATCCTGTGGATGGTAGGTACATGCCTATGTACACTATTTGTATTATAAATATAAGTTGCACTCATAGTTTTTAACTGGATTTACATGTAGTACTGTCTGTCTGAGGTTTGTATTATTTTATGAAGTCTGATACTGTGGCTTCTAAATAATTTAAATCATCTAAATAATATCAACAATGGCACCTGTATACTGCTCCACTGTGCTTTACAGCTCTCACTAGCTGGTTTCCAGAATCAGCATATTGCCCCCAATAATCTTGGTCCTCATTTTACTGATCTTGGAAGGATGGAAGGCTGAGTCAACCTTGAACCGGTCAAGACTGAACTCCTGGCAGTGAGCAGTCAGTTAGCTTGCAATACTGGATTCTAATCACTGTGCCATCATGGCTCTTCAATAACATGGGATATTGTGTCTATCAAGCCAGTGTGGTATGCTGGAGAAACTATGCTTAATACAGTTGTGAATTTGCAGAATGTACTGTATGATTGGGGAACCAGAGAGGTATAAAAGTTTTTGGGGGAGGCTGAAAATAATCATGCTTTACTTTTCCTACTTATATTATCAACTTATTACTATACTGTTAAGGTGAGGACAGGTCCATAGGATTGTTGTTGTATCACCAAACGTGCATTGCATTCTTTTTCTATCCTACAGTTTTTTTAAAGCAAAATGAAAAATATTTGGTATCTCTGGATCTCCAGCATTCTCTTGCCATGGTCTGCGGTATCTGGACATCCTTGTAACATTGATAAAATGGTAAGCAAGGAGTGATTTCTACAAGTTGTAAACTAAATTAAATGTTCTCTATGGGAGGATCTTAGACCGTGAGAAAGCCTGATGACTGTATTTGGTTAAATACTGGTTTTGTAGATAAACTTCCAATTTACATAATTACCATAATAAAAATGGTAATCAAGATGATATGAACAAATTTCTATCTTCCTCAAATCTCGACTCCTTAGATTTCTTTAAATCTAGCCATCAGAAGAGATGTTCTGAACCACTCTCCCTCTCAAGAGTGCGCAAGCGGATGGTTGATAACTAGTACATCAAGTCTTCTTTCAAGAGAACTGGCATCCTTGAAATAGATTACTGCTCCAAACTGGGATGAACATGTGTAACAAGGAATGGTGAAAGCCAAGAGAGCTAAAGGATACTGTGTAATTAACACAGAGATTTCTCCCCCCCCCACACACACACATACAAGTTCAGTGTAAAAGATACAGGTAGCTCAAGATGTCACCTTTGACAAACTCCATTAAAGAGACAGATTTGCATTCCATTTTCCTTGGGGGGAGGGAGGAATAGAAGAGCTGGTTTTTTTTGCAGAGTATCCTTTTCAGTGGATACAGTGATTGCTTCCAGTTGTTTCCAAATGTTGCACAATTCAAAGGGAATGACAAGTTTGGTTCAATTGTTTATAATTTTTCAGTACTGAATTTTACATTATTAACAACTGTGCAAGAAACATCTTCATATCACAGCTATAGTGGATTCTGGTTTTGGTTTGCTTGCTACTAGCCAAACATGGGTATTTATTTGGGACTAATTAGTCAAATCTGGACTTGCTCACAATATTGTGGGATTTTTGATCGGTTTCAATGTCTTTCAGTTTTCAAAGGATTTTTCCACAGAGCTGAGTTAAAGTGCTATTTACCTATCCTTGAATTAGTAGAATGGATGCTGAAATGAGTCTGATTGTGCTCGCTTGGAAACTAATGAGGGCAGCTACTTACTTAAGGTAGGAAAACATACTGTGTACAAGGAAGGGATAAATAGGACTAAGATTGTGTCAGGTATAGATTGGAAGTGAGAGGAAGGCAAATATCACAGGGACATGGTAGAAAAAAGAATTGAAGGGTGGGAAAAGTATTACAAAATAAGTGCTGCCCACTCTGTGTGAAAGTACTGTACTAAGAAACTGAAAGTATTTAACTTTTCATTATAACATTTGGCAAAAAAGAAAAGGTTTCTAAAAAAAATCCCACCTGTGAGGTAATATCAAGGTTCCTGGCAAATAATCCAAATTTTAATTTAAATTCTGTTTTTAGTTTTATGTAAAAGGAAGGAACAAAGTCTACCTTTCTATGTGACGTCACTCAGTGATTCTTATGGAAAGAAAAAATCCCAAGTTAGTTTGAAGCATTAATTCCACTGAATTTTTTTAATATTTCACACGTGGCTATATTTTTGTAGGGACGTGCTGCCTGCAGTGGAAAGAGCCTTCTCCATCCTCCCAATTTTCTTCCCAGACACATTACCATCCTAGATCTGTCTTTCAATTCCCTGACGATGCCCAAGCATGGACCTTTTCTGAGAAGCTTCCCTTCCTTACATTCCCTAAACCTTTCCAGCAACAGCATTCCTACTCTTTCCTCCTCTCTGTTCTGTAACCTGGATGCTCTTCGCCTTTTGGATCTAAGCAACTGTGGCATTTCTTATGTGCACCGAATGAGCTTCAGAGGTTTGAAAAGCCTTCACTCTCTATATCTGAACAACAACAAACTTCAATCTCTGGACCTCTCCATTTTTCCTGCCTCTGGAATCCTTGTCCATCTGGATCTGCAAGACAATGAACTGCCCTGTGAACATGAGCTTGTGCAATTAAATGTGCAAAGAATCCACCATATCAAACTTCAGGGGAACCCTTCAGTGTGCAGTGATTCCCTAACTCCTTTCCAGAAAGCAGTGCCAGAGAAAGAAGGTGAGGCCAAGATTGCCCAAGAGAAGGGCATTCAGCAATATGTTCTTCTGTCAGGGTAAAAAAAAAAAAAAAAAAAAAGCTATATTGAATCAACTTTTGTGTTAGTACGCAAATAATATTATTGCATAGCTGACTTTCCTGGTTGTGCACAGGATTTATTTTTGAGTCATGAAAAAATAATGATTGTGTGAATACACAATCATGCAATGTAATATCTTACAAAGAGCACAAGACCAACCTTATATATGTTTGAATCTTTCCAGTTTCATGGGGGAAAAGCCCCACAAACAACTCTCACTTTGTTTAATTGCAAGTGGCCCAAGACATTAAAGCAAAATTTTCACTGATGGTTTATTGAATAATCAATAGAGTTCACATCACTGTGATTTAAAGCTTACTTCAAATGAGGTTATACTTCATCCTAAAGCAAAAATAAATGATAGTTTAATGCAATACATGAACTCAGTCAATACTGTATGTTCATGTATTATACCCTAACAGTTAAATAGTGGACTGGATGGCAAACGTATCTGGAAAGCCATTTAAAAATTATTTGAGCAGCCTCATTTTAGGAATGAAAAAGTTTTCCTTACCTTTTTAAGTTTCATAAAAGAACGTTTGCACGTATTTATCAATCAAATATCAGAACCAACATAAATTTATTTATTTATTTATTTATGAGACTTATATACCGCTTTAAGTGCAAGCACTCTCTAAGCGGTATACACCAGTAAGCAATGTATATATATATATTTACATTGCCCCCAACAATCTGGGTCCTCATTTTACCTACCCCGGAAGGATGGAAGGCTGAGTCAACCTTGAGCCGGTGAGATTTGAACCGCTGACCTGCTGAACACAGTCAGCTAAAGTGGCCTGCAGTACTGCACTCTAACTGCTGCGCCACCTCGGCTCAAGATGTAGAGCAACAGAAATAACAATGAAGCTATTTCTTAAACAGATTGTCTATCATTTAAACATAGAACTCCAGACTGAAGAAATCAGAACTTCAGATTATGAGACCATGAGCCACAGAAGAAAACTTCAGTTCCTTTATGTTGTGGCTACGAAGCAGCCATCACCATTAGAAAATGATAGTAAGTGAAGCAAAATATATGATTCTAACCTTGTAGATTCAGAGTAACAACACAATGATATGATTTTTATTCCACGTGGCATTCCCCTCTCCAGTTCCAAAGCCATCACAAATTGTTCCCTAGAAAACTTTTCATTGAGATGAATTGGAGTCCTAGTCATCACGAGCCAGCATCCGTTGCTGATCCAAGCCAACTGGGCCATTTGGCAGTGAGGAAGTTCCTACTTTGATAAAACTGACGCGAGTCCTGAAACTATAATGATAAGAAATATCACTTTTTCTCATCTTTCCCCCAAAGGTCCCTTTGAAGGGGGAAAAAAAGTCTTTGCAAAATAGTCGCTTTGAAGGGGGGAAAAAGACAACATTGGGAAATCCTGCTCAGATTTTTTTTTGTATTTAATATTATCTTTCTAAAGATGATATTTAGCAACTTTTTATATTGGGGTAATCAGCAAACCCTAAACCCACACAATACACACTCTCATGTATGCATACACAAAACAAAGGAGGAAAAAAACCGATCAGAAAAGATTCAGTCTTAAAAGAATCTGATAGTTGATGCCTTAATCAATGAACTAACCCATACACTTTTGACTTTTGTTGTTCTTGATTTCGTCTTTGAGAAATTACTTCTAATACATTTGAATGACTATTATTTTAAGCCAAGATTATATATGCTTCTAAAATATTAAAAAAAAAAAGCACAAGGAATTTCAGTGTTATTTTTACTAAAACCCACAAGTCTCTCCATGAAATGATTACATTTTGAATTGGCTTTGGCCTATCTTGCTCCAAGCCTTGGTTTTTTTAACATCACACTGAACTATAAACTAAAAACATAGGCTGGGCTTCTCCATAATGTTGGACGAAAATGTGGTTTGGTATGTTATGTAATCCCAACCACATCTGCTTTTCTCATTTTCCAGTCTGTACCTCAGTGTATTCCTGTATCTCAGGCTATATTGAAGAATTAAACAGACAATAAACTATATAACTGCATGTGCATTTTCACTGCTCAGCTCACTCCACAATAATGGATTTCATTTTCTAGAGAATGACATCCATTGCAACAGAGGAGACAAATGGTGTTTTATTTCTTAAATAAAGGAAGCCAGGTCTTTCATGGAACATTTCTTCTTTTTATTTCCTGTTCACATCTTGTAAGGGGAGAATGCTAAGGCAGTCTTATTCATATTTATTCAGTAGTACATTCTGTGAATTCTATTGGATTTACTTCTATATAAAAGTTTGCACAGGATTTGCAAACTTGGAAATGCAACTAAAATAAAGTATTGCTCAGATCATCCACAGGGGCATAAGGTGGCAAATACCATGATGCAAATGCCACATCTTACATATTTGCATCACATATCAGAACACAAGTATGTAACAGTAGCATTTATATGATGGCATCACCATGCACACATTATCATTTTGGCATAATTGTAGTTTGCTACAGGTGCCACAGATCTTCCAGTTCATTAATAGCTCTATAACCTTTCTTTTCTTTGCAGCAGCTATTACCACACCTTCTACTGAAACAGCTGGGAAAAACTGGCTCTACTTTGCTGGGTTTGTGCTTTTGGCTATCACCATCTCCCTCTTGATTGCATTGATTGCCAAATGCAAATTGCTCCAGAAAAAGCATGCCAGCTATCACCATCAACGGTTGCCTGATTCTCGTTCCATTGGAAGCAGCCATATTGAGGAAGGAGACATGGACATGATGTATGGGAGGAACCAACCAGTAAGTGGAGCTTCTGAGTGCTATCCAGAGGATGATGATGGTTTCATAGAAGATAACTATATTGTGCCCAATCAAGACTTGAAGAAGGAAGAAGAGGATCTGGAGTTGGAACCTCATTTCAAAGTTGGAAGACCCTTTTAGGAAGAGTTCCATTTGTTATGCACTCCAGTTTGTGCATACATTGTGCCTTTCATTTTTAGGGTTTCCTGATATTCTCATTATAGTAGGAAAGTGATATTCTCATTATAATAGGAAACTGATAATGAGCCCAAAGGCAAATTTGACACTGGGCAAAGAGGTCAGCTGCATGTCTGCAGTGGTTAGTACTTAGTATGTTTTCCTGAATATTAGTCAAGTGGAAGCCTGAGTTCTCTCTTAACACACTCAACCCATTCTCTTGCTGGTACACATACACCCATGTAGACTCATACTTGATTCATTCTTTTGTACTTGTTTTTCTTGTATACATCCATCAACTACAATTTTTTTAGAGCTTACATTAAAACTGATAAAGAGATTTCTAAAGAGTCTGTTTGGAGCACAGGAAATAATTTTTCAAATGAACTGCAGCATTTGGGAAGAGAAGTTCATCCTTCATGGCCTTCCCCCAAAACCGCACCTGTGCCTTGGCATCAACGGATGTTTTTTAAAAGCTTGATTGCTATGTGGGTTAGGGAAAATCTATTTCCAAGCAGCTGGTGGGAAGGACCTTGCCCCTGGGCAGCATTAACCATCTTCCATAAACTCTATGCATCTCATTGAAGACATTTCCCTAAGCTTATCACAGCTAGGGAGTGCTACCTGTGGGTGTGGGAAGCTTAGAGGATTGCCACAAGATGATGCCAAAAAAGCAGATCTAAAGTGAGTTTGAGATTCTCCCTTTTTCCTGAAAACTCACCATTTTATTAAAAGGAATTTGGAGCAAGTGCTTCATTGCTGTTACTAGGCCTTTCTTTATTGCAGGAGTCATTTACAGCATAATTGGGACATCTCGATGACTGCAGTTTTACTCTTGTCCCTATGGTGCCGGCCTTGCTTTATATTAAGGACAATCATTATACTATCTGTCCTGGTGTTGTCTATATAGGTAGTCCTCAACTCATAACCATTCATTTTGTGAGCGTTCAAATTTTTACAATGGCACTGAAAAAAAGTGTCTTATGTTCTTTGCATTTACGACTGTCATAGCATCCTGACGGTCATAGGATCAAAATTCAGGTGCTTGGCAATCAGCATGTATTTATGACAGTTGCAGCATCCCAGGGTCATGTGACCTCCATTAGCGACCTTCCCAGCCAGCTTCCGCCAAGTAAAATCAATGGAGGAAGCCAGATTTGCTTAATGGTTCACTGAATCGTTTAAGGACCATGACAAACAAGGTTCTAAAATTGGGTGTGACTCATCTAACAACCGCCTTGCCTCGCAATGGAAATTGTGGCCTCAATTGTGGTCGTAAGTTGAAGACTACCTGTACCACACAATATCCATCAGTTGCAAAAAACCAAGGAGAGTGAATAGAGTTAGGATGATCATGCCAAAGCCATTCAAAAGCTGCTCTGTGCTAACAATTACTATTACAATAACTTCAATGTTTTTGTTTGATGATATACAGAAACAAGCAAAATTCCCCTTGTTCCCACTGTTGGCCACATGTTAGAACACTGTACTAGACATTAAACAACAAAGAGAATGATGCAACTACAGCAAGACCAAGTATCTAACACCCTAAAATTACCAAGTTTGTCTTCTGACAGCCACAATCTGTGGAGTGACATAGAGGTGTTTGTCTTGTTATCTAATCACATTGCAAAGTAATAGTAACTGATAGTAGATTTGTTAGGTGTGTAAAGAGTGTGGGAATTCTGCAACATTCACTGTACATTATTTTCTCATTGTGTATGCAGCACTTATGTCTGAGTAAGTTTTCCCATGCATGGTTGGTAAGGTCTAATTAAGTCTCATCAATTTCTTTATGAAGAAAAATCTGATATAATACATTTGTACAAAAAACTGCAGTAACTTTCTCATTAGTTTCTCTTTACACTTACCACAGGTTGTGCAATTTTGTTTGACTTCCTTTTATTTCCAACAATCTTAATCTTTAATTCTTTAAAATATTGCTATAATTTCTCTTCATTTCTTCTTTGGCCCATTCCATAGAGTTCTTCAAAGCTCTAACAAGCCTCTTTTGTAAATCCAATAAGAAAAAATTATCCAAGTCACACCTCTGGTTTCTCATTTGTACTTCCTTTTTTAAATTTTAAAACTTCAGCTAGTTTCTTTGTAGATCCAATGAAACATCCTTTTATAAGCCATTCTCCTGTCCTGTCAATTGTATATCCACTTGCAAAACCATTTCTATCTTGTCAGATAAAATTTGTTCTACATCTTTTATTTTTTCAATAACATCCTTTAAACAGTCTATCCATACAAGTAAATATTATTACTGACATTATTGATATTGCTATTATTTTCTGATTCCATTCTTCAAAGGTTTCATTCAGTATTGTTGTTATATTTTGCAACATTTTATAACAGTGGTTCTCAACCTGTGGGTCGGGACCCCATTTGGGGTCGAATGACCATTTCACGGGGGTCGCCAAACAAGGCTGTCCGCCATTTTTTCCCTTTTTCTTTGGCCACGCCCCTGGCACCCGGTGATGTATAAGTGGTTGGGGGTCACCACAACATGGGAAACTGTATTATGGGGTCGCGGCATTAGAAAGGTTGAGAACCACTGTTTTATAAGCTTGTTAATCTTTCCTCTTTAGTTCCCTCTAGTGTCCAGTTTTTGAACTCATGAAATTGCTTATCTGTTTATTTCAGATACTTTAAATTATTATTAATTATTGTTTGTGGTGGCCTAGTGACGAAGACACTCACCTCCCACTTGGAAGGTTGAGATTTCAATCCAGATGTTTTTCTCCTAGAGCACAAAAAATAAATAAATTCTGATATGGCGTCAGGAAGGGTATCCGGTCAGTAAAGCTCAGCTTCATCCAGTTGCCCTGAATCACCTGAATTAAGGGATTACAGGGTCGTAAAAAGGAAGTTTATTATTTAAGGTAAACAATGCCTCAAAGTTCTTTGAAGAATTTCATCTATCGGAACCATGACATTATTTACTAAATTTGTTTGTTACCTGCCTCGTCACGAGGAGATTATGGGCAGCTTACAACATTAAATTCTTAAGGTTATGATTAAAAAGAATTTTGTTCGAGTCTAAAGGTAGAGTCATTAGCATTTTCCCACTTGTCATTCTGAAAGTTGTAATAACTTAAAAATAGTTAATGACCAATTCCTGAAAGTGAGAAAGTGAGGCTTGCAAATTTAATATCCTTTAAAAGTCTTTGTCGTGGTTGTGAGAAAGATGGCTAATCCCTCCATCTCATGGCACTCATCCCATAGGAAAATCACGGTCCTGTGTTCTCCTTGTAAGAAGCAGCTGTTAGGAAGATATGAGGGTAATCTCCCATCCTCTCCTTATCTAGAGATGTTCCAAGGAATTGGCCTATTTATCCATTCCTTGGTCTTTGCTGCAATTGTCAACAACATTTTTGCACAGCCATCTTCAGATTGCCATATCTCCCCTGGAAATCCAAATTACATACAGTAGTATTATATTCTGTCTCCTTTGAAAATAGTTTCTTCCCCATACCATGAAACAGAAGGAAGCAATAATTCATAAGACCCCAAACCCATAAAGTCTAAATCTTACTGAAGACCAGATTAAATATAGTTATCTTATTTGCTATTTGATTTCCTGCAATGGTCATTACAATATTTTGTCCATGAAATGTATGGGGTTTTGGGTTCAGATGAGGCAGGACAATTGTTTTTGAATATGCAAATGATTAGATGCTGATTGTAGCAAGAGTAATTTCTCATTTAGGAAGTATGAAATCACTTATTTGATACAGCTACTTAGTACATGAATAGGAATGTACAGAAATCTCAGAGGGTGAGACTAATTACATAAATATATACCTAGGTATTTAAGCACATGTAGAAATTGTGGTCTAGGACTCACCTCAGTAATTTCACATGGTTGGACCAATCAAATTCCTCACTCAAGGTATTGCCTCAAAGCATGTCATCAAGCAGAATAATCTTTCCCTCTGGAACACATTCTTTCAGTGTTGCACAATTTTCCTCTAACTCATCTCTAGTTCTTCCATTATTATGATTCACTGGAACATAACATACAACTATCACCATTCTGTGGATTCCTCTTTTCACATGCATCCACAACAATCCAGATGATAAATGTTCATACTTTCTGATATAGATTTTAGTTCTTTCATTCATCATTAAATTTACACTTTCACTTACCAGGAATGTTCATCAATTCCACAAGAACAGACCATCTTCACTCAGTTTTATTACATTCTATCCCTTTGTCTTAGATTTTTTTTAATACAAAAGATATATTTTTACAATATATCTATTTTTCTTATATGTGCTAATTCACGCTCCTTACTATTTACTCCTCTTACATTGCAAGCCACAGCCTTCCATATGCCAAACTTGTTATGCTGTCATAAGGATATTGACCTCTGCCATCTATCATTGCTTTTGGCCAAGTGTTCATATAAAACTTGTAGAAAAATAGAGACAATGATCGACAACATCAGCAAATATTGCGGGTTCAGCTGGCAAAGGAAATCTCAGGACTGTATTAGTTGGAAACATGCGGAAGAGGTCTTCATCCTGCAGTGGATAGAAAATGGCTAAAACGATGATGATGGTGGTACTATATAAAATAGTTTATAAACCTAGCCAAAGTTATCTTCTCTTTCAAACACTCTGATGGAATACTGAGCTATAAGATGGCAGCTTAGAGGCCTGTCCTGCCTTTCCTAAAGCCCTCTAGGACTTCATATCCTGCGTACCTCCAGCTTTGTAGTAGTAGCTTGTAGTTTCTCTACCCTTGTAGTTCTAGCTTCTACTATCTTACTCCCAGGAGGCACCAAACTCTGCTGTTTGTGAGAGATATGACTCTCACAACATGTGCTATCTTTGTCACTATTAAAAGCTTAAAATTAAAAAAAATTGAAGTAATTTCTAAAATATACTCCTTGGCTGTAGCACATATAGATCTGGGGCTAGAGGATTCACCTCTTTCTTCTCTCTCTTGGGAGACAGACCAATCTCCCAAGAGATAACTATAGACTTTACTGGGAAATGATTTAAAGGCCCTCTTCATATATTCATCAGTATACCAAATTTAACACTGAGTTACAGAGCTGTCAATATACAGAATATAGTTCCTAGTAAATTCGTTTAAAATATAATCTACAGGAAAATTCCATGGCCTGGTTAAACCACAAGGTGGTGCTCATCTGCTTCAAAATATCAAAAAAAGCTCTGGAAGGGATTGGATTCAAATGATCAGTGATTAATGTACAATATTGTTCTGAATAAATAAAAATGTGTCTTCATATCCACTCTGTGTGATAGATAAAGGCTGAAATTGCGTACAATCCTCCAGCATGTACTGAGAATAACAGGAAACCATGCCACCTAACCTAGCACAACAGACAAAACAAGTGTTAAATCAAATGCCTTTCCTGGCTGGTCTTGTGTTACCTATTTCTACGGAGATGGCAGTTTCTGAAGCAGAAGCCCCTTTGCATAGTCACCGACACTCCAACTTCTTGGAGATTTCAAAACTTTAATCAAATGCTGTCAGGAATGATGTTGGTGTGACGCTCAACCCAATCTTGTTCACAGCCCTTTCAAGCTATGCTCTTAATTTTAAAAGGGCCAAAATTTTTTGCAGCACAGAGAGCGCCATTATTGCACATATAATTAAAAATAACCTTAAACACCAAAAATCAGAAACAAAGATGGGGGAAAGAGAAGCTTGTTTTCCCTTCTGATGATATTGCTTATGACTTCTAAACCAGGGCAAGGGAAATTGACCATTTGCCACTTGGTTTAGAGCAGAGGTTTTCAAAGTTGGCAATTTTTAAGATGTTTGGACCTAAACTCAGAATTCTGAGAGTGGAAGTCTACAAACCTTAAATGTTACCGAGTTTGAAAAATATTTACAGTTTGTGAAACAGATTTCAGTAGATATAAGTGCCAAACAAACAAACAAACAAACAAACACAAGTTAGTATGAGAACTAGGTAAATCAATAATTCGGAAAAGCAAAAGTGTTTTGCAAATCCAGATATATTATGTTGTGCATAAGCTTTTTTGTATTACCTTTCGGTATGCTGTAACACATTTAAAAAAGTTATTAATTAAAACAAGAGGACTACATCTTCCCACGAGCCAAAAATCGGCTGACATCTCAAGGCTCAGTGACACTGCAATTTCAACTCCAATGAGAGCGTGAGGACTCTTTCTTTTCTAGGTCTAAGCGCTAACAGTGAAGTACTATAGAAAACTTGCCCCCCTATGATGTCACCGCACGGAAGTACTGGGATGTTGTGAAAGAGCGACCGAGAAGTATGTGGACGGGGTGGTTTTGTGAGTTTCTGTCCCGGCCGCCGCTTGCAAAAACTTCTGACAGGGCAAATACAGAACAGATGTAGGTTGCGAAACTTCTAGATGACGTCCCTAGAGTAGAGGGAGAAAAAGTGGGTCTAAAACCATCAGCATCTTTTCTCAGGTGGTTCCCTCCAGCACACCACATGGCTGGGGAAGACTAGGGTAGAACGTTACATATAATGCTTTCACTCATGGCCTTCATGCCTCTTGCATAGTGTTGTTTGTGTATGTACTTGCACCTGCAGACAATCAAAGGCATCTTTCTAGAGCAGGGGTTCCCAACCTTAGCAACTTTAAGACTTGTGGACTTCAACTCCCAAAATTCCCCAGCCTGGCTGGGGAATTCTGGGAGTTGAAGTCCACAGGTCTTAAAGTTGCCAAGGTTGGGGACCCCTGTTCTAGAGGATGCAATCACTTTAATGCTTAAGAAGAGATGCTTTGTTTGCCCTAACATGCTTTGCCAAGTGCCCCTATCAGTTGCTTTGCAAAACTCTGTTTACTAATTTCAGACCAATTGCATCCTGAGCTCTAAATTTCCTTCCATAAAGTATCACTCAATAGAGATGTTTCTCAGCACTTGCTGCCTGTGACCATATTAGCCAAATATACCTGTAATTGAACTTGCAGGCTTTTGCAAGTCTAGCTTATGGCTGCTATGGTTAAACTTAGCTGTAGTTCCTCTACAACATGTGCATCCCATATTCTTTCGGTCTGAGGCCAGAAAGAAATTATCTTTTAGGATGTCTACTAGCTTTCCACCTGGAGGGAGGGAGGAAGAGAGAGAGAGAGAGAGAGAAATCATATTAATATGACAGTAGGATGAAAATACTGGCTAAAGGATGGAGATGTGCTTCCTCCTCTTAATTATATAATTTTTTTATATTCTAGTATTAGGCTTCAATGTTGTCCAAAATTGGAATTATGAATTTAAAGAAACTGGAAAGGATTTGCATTAAAATCCTAAAAATCCCAAATGGTATCTAGGAGACACACCGCTGGAGAGGTAAGATGGGAATATAGTTGACTTTTGGCATAACGTGTCCAAAATGCTTTTAATTAAATATTCTTTCCACTAAATTCAGTAGAGCTAATACCCAAGCAAATGTAGAAAGTATTAATGAACTTTTTGAACTTTTAATGTTTATAGCAAGAAAAAAAATGCATATTCTCTGGTTTTTCACATGTTTTGGTAAGATGCAAAGTAAGGATAATTTTGATGTCATAAATGTGAGGAAATGTATTGGCTATGCAACTCCAGAATGATATTTGATAAAGTAGGCACCGCAGAAATATGGGGAATAGTAGCAGATTACTCCACATGTTTTTTGATTTGGATTCTTATGGAAATTGCTATAATATCTGAGGATGAGTGAATAAGCTTGTATGTGAGAACTAAGTTGTAGTAATATGATAATTGGATGTAAACTATCCATAAGTACATTGGTACCTGGTGAAGCAACAAACTGTTACATTATCTTATTTAATTTTGATTTTCAAGATACACATGAATCAAATGACATTTCAAAAGGACTTAGAAGCTGAACAAAGCAACATCTTTTTTTTCTTCCAGACCCAGTATTGTAGATAATGCCAAAATCACTTTAAAACAATAGAAATGTAGCTGTGTTGTACTTTACTGAGATAAAAGGACCCCGTATCACTGCAAGCATCCCCACCTTTCTTAAGGAAGATATCATCCCATTCCTCTCCTTTTCCATGTCTGATGGAAATCAAGAGTTAATATAGGTAGTCCTCGATGTATGACCACAATTGAACCCAACATGTATGTTGTTAAATGAGACATTTGTTAAGAGAGTTTCCCCCGTTTTACAACCTTCCTTGCCACAGTTGTTAAGTGAATCACTGCAGTTGTTAAGTTAGGAACATCGCTGTTAAGTGAATCTGGCTTCTCCATTGACTTTGCTCATCAGGAAGTCACAAAAGTTGATCCCAGGACCTCCCAGGACACAACAATGGTCATAAATATGAACCATTTGCCAAGCGTCTGAATTTTAATTACATGACCGTGGGGATGCTGCAATGGTCGTAAATCACTTATTTCAGTGTCTTAAGTTTGAACAGTCACTAAACAAACTGTTGTAAGTCAAGGACTACTGGTACAGTACAATTTAAGTAAACTTTGCTGACTTTTTTTTGCTATTTTATGTCTGTTGAGAGAGCTGGCATCGCAGGACGGGACAGACATTATAAAGCTCCTAATCTGCAGATGCTCTTTGTCTAGAGCAGGGGTAAGCAACCTTGGCTCTTTTATGACTTGTGGACTTCAACTCCCAGAATTCTGGGAGTTGAAGTCCTCAAGTCATAAAAGAGCCAAGGTTGCCTACCCCTGGTCTAGAGCAAGATGTTTCTTGAAATAATCAGACCTAGTGATTTCCACTATAAAGGTAAACCAAGTAAATATTATTTCTTCATATACTAGCATGCCTATAAAACTTTTGTTTTCATATATTACATGAATTGATGCCTCCCTGGATTCACACAGTATGCTTCTCCTGTAAACTTTCTTTTATAATACTATTAATAAATATTCGTGAAATTTACATGCCACCTGATTCCCAGTGACTGGGTGATTTTATTTTGTTTCCAAACTGGAGAACACTAAAATCTTAAATTATTTTATCGAGTACCATTAGCCTGTGGTAAGGTGGGCAGCCAATAAATTTAATAAATAATAAATAAATAATAATTGGCAAGTGCCATGTCTGGATTACAAAACTTTGGATTACTACTGAAGATAGCAAAAAGAAACATACAAATATAACTTGTTACTATCATCTTGTGATCACCTGGATTTTTATAGTCCACCTCCAGTAACCCTGATAGCTGTATCTTAGGGTGTTTTGCCATGATTCTCAGTGTTCTGGCTAGGAAGATACGCTTGGTTGGAAATATGCTCTATGTAGTTTAGTTAATCTTTAGCATTCATACTGTGGTTGTTCTAAATAGAACTTAGTGCATTTGGGGTTTCTGACAATTATGTCACATAAGCTTAAATCTGATTTAATTTCTACAGAGCTGCGGCTTTCCTTTTTGTAAAAGCAAGCTTCTAGTCCTTTTGAATGCAAAAAAGAAATAGGTGTAACAGTAATGCCGCATAAACCAACGTTAGATTGAAATGAATTTTCAGTGGAACCACTGAGAGAGATGCTTCTCTGCGCGTGCAAGTTGCCTTAGTTACTTAGGATAGCCATAGTCCCACTTTGGAACAATAGCCATTTGCTTTCCTTCACTCACACTTCTTTTGAATCTCCTGTGGTCCAAAGCAAATATCAGAACTGGTTCTGATGTCTGACCAAGAAGCCAGGCCTCTAGACTGACTGAGAATAACTGCTCTGTGGTGACAAATTCATCAAGTTGCTGAGTTTGGGTCAGATGGCAAATGTAGGGCAAATCCAACCCTATGGTCAGAGTAATCTCTGAGTTATGTCCTTGGTGGTTAAATTAGGTTTGCCATGCTGGAGGTAGGAGGAAATTGCTGGCTGGCTGAAACATGTCCTGATACAGTGAAAATGGCATTGTTGTTTTGAGCCCCCTGGTTCTGACGGGTAGCCTTACGGCAGGAAGTCCATGTCAAATAGAACAACAGGCTGAGGAGGATAATTGCTCCAGCGACTGTGAGCACAATGCCACTGATAAACATGCTGGCAAGGGGGCGCGGGGCTGAGGGGTTAGTGCTGACACTGGTGGTAGAGAGGGCTGTGAGCACTGTGCCACACACCAGCAGCACCAAGGCTGTCAGCAGGAGCACAGCGCAGTCCGAGGCACCCCCGCTTTTCAGCAACTCCACCTGTTCCCGTCTGCGAATGCAGTTCATGTCCTGGATGGCAGAGCTCAACAGCTGCTTCAGTAGTACCAAGAGTGCCAGCAGACAGAGTGTTGTGCCCACTGCCAGCCTCCACTCTCCAGAGCGACTGCTAGTACTGTACAGAAGGGCAATGCCACCTACCCCACAGGCTAGGATCAAGGCCACTGCTACTCCATAGCAAATAAGGGATTTCTTGGGCTCCTGGAACCACCATAGTTCCACGTGCTCTTCCAAGATGTTCCTCTGGATCCGGCTGGCATGCGCTGGGAGTCTGGGTTCATTCAGGTGCTCCATTTCCGCCATAGTGGATGCTGAGCCGGCTCATATACAGCAAGGATGGGCCACAGGAATTGCTGCTTTTAACTGGCCCGGAAGATTGGCAGCAAGGAAGAGGGTGGGTACTTGACACATTTTCCCAGGGATAGAGGCAATGAACTTTTATTCAGTTCCTATCCAAATCACATTTTTTTCTTTCTTGGATGGAAATGGTTGAGAGGAAACAGCAGAAATGGAAAACTCTTCTGGCTGAGGCTGAGGCTGAAACCTGCTTCAGTGTTTTGCAGCTCCTTTCTGAGCACGCCCTGATCCTGCCAGTTATCTGTAAAGGAAACAGTGATAAAATATGAAAAGAGAGCTTTCTTTCCCAAAGGTGAAAAGAAAGAGTGAGGAGGACCACTCCCCATGGGGTCAAGTAGGGTTCATGCAAGTCAAATCAATTTTTTATGGGCTAGGCCATATTCCATGCTTTGTTCAGGAAAGTTGAATCACAAGATTTCCTTGTGGCAAAATGTTTGTGCCAGGAAAAGCAAGATTCTCTCTTAATAAATAACTTATAACTGAAACTTGCCCCTATGAAACATTTGGATGTATGTTCTCATTTACAGTTTCAGTAATTTATAACAAAATGTAAGCATGCAAGAAATGCTTCTCTTATTTCTAGTCTTGGGTTTTAATGCTATTTTAGTAACACCTTCACCTCTGTCAATTTGACAGTCATCTTAAAAATACTTATGATCTCTACTTTAAGAAAAGATGGGTTTGATATTCTCAAGATGCCGAACTTGGCTCTTTGTACTAGCTTTCATCTTGATGGGAGGCAAAGAGGAATTATATTTACTGCAAGCATGTCTCATAACATCAGGATGATAGATGTTGAAAGAGAAAAAAAAACAGTTTTCCAGTGAGAAAAGGCAAAAATAGGTTCTATATTGAAATCCAGTTTACGTCATGTTGGGGTTACCTTTGAATATTAAATATATACACTAGCCCAGGGGTAGGCAACCTTGGCTCTTTTATCCAGTCATGGCTCAGGAATTCTGGGAGTTGAAGTCCATGAGTCATAAAAGAGCCAAGGTTGCCTACCCCTGCACTAGCCCAAGGGTGTCAAACTGGCGACTCATGGGCTGGATGCATCACATACAGGTCATGCCCACCCTGGTTCCGCAAAGGCAAAAAAAGCCACGATACATCATGATATGTCACGTGATGCAATTGATTTTGACACCCGTGTAATAGCCTGTTCTTTCACAGAGACATATTTCACAAAATAATTAAAGTAATTATTATTCTGATACTAGGGTTCATTCTGATGTCTCTCTAATTACAGTATAAAGATAGTTTTTTAATGATTTTTAAAGGATACCTTCTCATGTCATCACTTCTTTCTTTTCTCCAGCCCACTGCAAAGGCACCCTGAAGACATCTTTTCTACTGTCAAGGTGGTATTTTTCCATCTTTTTTCAACACATTTTGCCATACAATGTAAAATGCCTTGGTGACAAAACTGGCAATAACATCAACGGGATTGGGGAACTGATTTCTAAGTGCTGTGGAAATGGCATTTCTCTGCCTGGCTCATGGCTTGGGCTATGAGAGAGACTAGTTGTTTGGTACCATCTTTTTTGTTCCTTTGTGGGAATATTAATCTTCTGGAAAACAGATATGTTAGCATTATTATAAATCTTGTTATTGGTCTCCTATTCAGCTGATGCCTTCCCATATTGATAGGTGACACTGGGTGGGAGGAGAAAGGAAACTGGACAACTCATTGTCCTGCATTAACTCTGCAAAGAAAGCAGAACTGTTCCCTGGCTTCAGGCTCAGCTAAGTAGATTCTGATTACTTTTTTAAAAATAAAAATTAATATATGGTTCTTCCCTGCAGCCGTCCATCCATGGTTTTCCCAGCCATCCAGGTCACCACAGGTCTTCTAGATGAGAGCATTTTGGGGCAGAATTAGCGGACAGGAAAGAGTTTGTAATCAGTATTTCCATGATGGAAATGCCCAATATTCAGTGGGTTTATTGGGTCAGTGGGGTGTGTGTGTGTGTGTCTATTTCTGCTTTACTTTAACTTCTAATTTGTACGCTCAAGAAGATGATTAAGGGCCTGGAAACTAAAACATATGAAGAACGGTTGCAAGAATTGGATTTGGCTAGTCTAGAGAAAAGAAGGATTGAGGGGGGGGGATGATAGCAGCATCCCAATATTTGAGAGATTTCCACAAAGGGTGGGTGGGTGTCAACTTATTTTCCAAAGTACCAAAAGGAAAGACAAGAAACAATGGATGGAAACTAATCAAGGAGAGAAACAACCTGGGATTAGGGAGAAACTTCCAAACAATGAGAACAATTAACCAGTGGAATGGCTTGCCTTCAGAAGTTGTAGGTGTTTCATCACTGGACATTTTTAAGAAAAGACTGGATAGCCACTTGTCTGAAATGGTATAGGGTCTCCTGCTTGAACAGGGAGTTGGACTAGAAGACTTCCAAGGTCTCTTCCAGCTCTATTCTGATTGATGGAGGGAGAGAGCACAAATTATCCTGATATATTTTTCAACTGTTTGAAGGATGGAAGTGTGTGTGTGTGTGTGTGTGTGTGTGTGTGTGTGAGAGAGAGAGAGAGAGAGAGAGAGAGAGATCTGTAAATGCTACTCTTTAACCCTACATTCTTAGAAAGTGATTCACAAAAAGTATGATTTTCTCCTCCATTCTAATGATGCTTCTTTCCAGTCATTATCTATCTATCTATCTATCTATCTATCTATCTATCTATCTATCTATCTATCTATCTATCTATCTATCTATCTATCTATCTATCTAGACTATGGCTGAGAAGAAGCAGAATGGAGGAAAAAGACACATTTTTGTGAATCACTTTCTAGGAAGTATGCAGGGTTAAAGAGGAGCATTTACAGATTACAGAAAATGCTTGAATTTAAGTCCAAAATTTCTTTACTGATTTTAGTGTTTTAGTAAAATTCCTAAAACATTTCACACTACACATTAAAACAGTATAAAATTACTCCTGAATATCACAAAATTAAAACAGCAGATTGAAACACAATTGTAGTATCAAGGCCTCACAATTGTCCCAATAAAATCAGGAAGCCATGATTAAACTTTTATCTGCTAACACACTTGTGAAATATCACCCTGAAAGAACAAGCAGATGACATGCAATGTGCTAAGAACAAAGTTCTGTTAATTGCAGAAAAAAGGATGTAGCTGTTATGTGTCCCATGAGCACATCTCAATATCTTTTGAAAAAAGCAAAAACAGATAAGAAAGGTATAATGCAAAAGAGTGTCAGAAGTGCTTCTGTTGAAGCAATGGCTCACCCTTATTCTGTAATTTTATAAATCTGAGAATCTAGAGCTATAAAGGTTTAATGATTATGTGAATGAAGACAATCAACATCAAATGGAATACCTACACAACAGAAATTCAATGACCTATATAAAAATATGCATTAGAAACCGATATATTTTGATTGATAAAGGTTGAGAATAGTTTGATAAATATAAACAGGAGAAATAATTTATATCACAATAGAATTAGTGGTCATCCAACAAATCTGACTTAAAAACAAGATGACTTTTCTTATAAAGCACATACTAAATGCAGGGTTGGGGTAAGGGAGGGAATATCTATAGCTACTTTATTTTAGTCTACCCCAGAAAAGTTGCACACATGCCTTGTAAAAAATTTCTTCCGTGCAGACCTCTCAAGGACTGGTCTAAAATTCCTATTACCTTGAACGTGCTGTTCTGGTTATGACATCTTAGTTCCAGGAGGCTGGGTCAGTGATTCCTTGCCTTTCAGGAATTCCACTCATAGGTATTACAATCTTGGCCATGTCTTCAACAGGTTGGCGCTTCTTGGCGCAAGGGTGTTCAGGTCATGCAGCAATTCTTAGCTATGTTTGGGCTCTTGAGACAAATCTTCATTTTAGTAGCATTTGCTTCTTGTGCTGACAAAAGCTGATGATTGAAGCAGAGATCCCAACAATAAGAAAGCTTCTTTCACTGTTCCAGTCTCACATGGTCCCTCATCAGCATCTGCCTCTTGTCACCAACTGGTTCTCTGGGTTGTGAGACAATAGAAGCTTGCATCTAAGCTGTCTTAACCCTTGATACACACTTTTTCCTCCAGGAGCAATCAAGACCTGGGCTTATTGTTAGCTTCTTTTCGTCATCCCCTGCTTAAGGTACAAGTAACAGAATTTAATTTTTATAAGTTGATAAAGTTGTTGACCAGCATTTAACTGTTTTATACTACTTTGATCTTCTGATTTTTTCCCCCTCTTTAGGTATCCTGGAAATTAGACAAGAATCTAGGTGGAAAGTGGATGCTGAATATGTTATGGTATTTAGGAAGAGTAGAACAAAGTACTTCTGGCACCCTATTCTCAAGGTGGTGACTCCTCACTCGACCATTTTAAAAACTTTTCCATATTTAATTAGGAGTTTAGATTTTCTGGTTTAAATGGCCTTTTCAAGTTCTATAATTTTTAGTCTTCCTCTGTAGAATATCAAAAGTATCAGAGACCTGAAAATGAAATTATTTTCATAGGCAAATATGATAATTATGAAATCTGGATAGCCTTAGTCTTTTGAGGCCGATTTATTTTGCTGAGCTCTGAAATCAGAAACTCGCTTTATTTAAAAAGTTACAGTACAGTGTGAAATCTAAGTTCAGAATCTGAAGATATTCAGGAGAAGGTACAGTACTTACATCCTGAAATGTGTAGTGTGTCTTAAACATCCTTTATTGAGGCTTAAAATCAATCTATTTACAATACTGTTTTTCTTGTTTTCTTTCTTCCGCTTCCCTTGTATTTGTTCACACATGAAATGAACATACAAGATGTAACATTGCCTAGCTCTCCTTGAAAGTACGGTAAACCTTCTGCCAGCTTGGTGTTCGAGCAATGTATTGAGCTGCAATTTCCATGTTTCTCAGTATAAAAATTGTCCCTCAATATATCTCCTTACAGCATGTCAGGGAAAGTTGGCACTTCAAATGGACCCCAATTAGTTTAACATCTTCTTAACCAAAAATTGCAAAGAGGTCTGCAAAGAAGTAGATTCATATCTGAGAGAGAGTGTTGCCTTGATTTGGCTCAGTGCTAAAATCATTGCCCTTTTTTGTATTTTGGCAGATCTTAGCTGGGGAATTAAGTAAGATAGAAAAGGCAACTTCACATGTTGGCAATACATATGGGCATAGCAGTCAAAGCAATGGGGTGGCCATTTATAAAACCATCGGTAGTCAAACGCAACAATTCAATGCATTTTTTTTAATCAGAAGGATGTATTTAAGAAGAATTATGTACAGGGATCTAACAGCACATAATGGATTTAGAGGATATTTAGTACAGCACATAAGAATGAAAGAAGTATAATTAATCCTCCCCCACCACTTCTCAAATAAGAGATCTCATTTATCCCAGGCAATTGTTTAATAATTTAATCAGAGGCTACTGGAGTTCCCTTGGCAGAAACAGTCAACGAAAGAGGAGGCTTCTGATCCAGACACAGCCTGACAGCATCAGCCCAAACCCTCCCCTACAACAGGGACAGAACATGAGATCACTGTTAAAACTATATGGAGATCAGGCCCTGTTTAAAGCAGATTGCCAGCTAAGTCACATGATTGGAAAAACCAGAGTTCTAAATCCAGTACTAAATTGTTGGAAGGTGGATCAAGATAGAAGATAAATCTCTCCCACCCCAGACATCCCCCCCCCAATCTTTTTCTGCTAGTTGTGATTGAAGCTTGAATTCTTGAGAAACAAACAGTTGAACCCCTGTGGATGTTAAATTATGGGTACAATATTGACATGAAATCCATACTCATGGCTGCATCCATTTCATTTAAATACCAAATAATGAAAAAGAGTTATTATATGCCCACCCTTTGCCTGAGGCTGTATATAGATGGTGTTCACTAGTTTGGGACAATGTTTGCTGCGCTTTGCTGGAGCGCCTTTAGCTAGGAGAAGTTAGCAGCTAACTTGGTTTTAGTTATTCACCGTTAACACATATGGGAAAAGATTTGTCTTCCTCATCATTTCCAACTTTTAGTAATTGAAGCTACTGGGTAAGGAAACCTACAGTGGAAGAACATTTTTAAGATTTAAAAAGTATGCCAATTCCGCCACCTACTTTGTGAACCCCTGAAGTTTAAATGAAAGTAAAAGATAAACAGAAATACATGGCAATTCATATGGAAATAAATACGTCTATATGTTGGTATAATATAGCTCAGGAAAGAATGTGTATGAGTGGATTACACTGTAATCCTTTGAAAAGTTTCCAGAAGGCAGTTTCTTGGCTGAAAAGAGAAAGGATAGCATGGCATGGAGGCACAGATATTTTTCTAGGATGCACCTGGAATTCACTCACCTATGGCTGATTAATCATGGAAGATGCTGTTGCAAGAATCTTTTCCTGATCCATGTTCTTGGGTTTCCTAGGATCCTGGTGCCATATTCCTCTTCCATTGTGGTTGCTTAAAAGGTCAGTTTTTAGGGTATGGTCCAAAGGTAAAATTGAAACCTGCCTTCTGCACTCTCTGCCTGAATATGCCTATCAAGTAACAGGTGCTAGTTCCTCCTCCCTCCTCCGTCTAACACCAGATGCTTCATCTGATAGGCTTGCAACAGTCACTGACCTTTGCCCAGGCAGGTACATTCTCTAGCAGGGTGGAGTTGGAGAGACAACCTGTTGTCCTTGGAAACATTCCAACCTGATGACGGTGTGTGCACACGTGGGAAGTGGAAACAAGGCTGATGAAACCAAAAAAAGAAGGATATACATTACAGGTAGAGGTAAACAATACAGGATGATAGATATTGATGGCTCCTTGCAAGACAATTGAATTTTTTTCTTCTTCGAGGAACTGCACAGGGGCAATAAAGACATGGTACAGATTAGTATCATCTTTTGGGAAATTGAGAACTTTTGGCAGACTTCCTGAGAATAGGAATGGCTCTTGACTCCTAATAGAAAATATTAATCTGAGGAGTGAACATATGGTATTAATTGAATAGATCACTGATGACCCCCCTACAAAGGCTAGAACAGCATGCAATTATCATTAGAAAGTCTATAGACTGTTGCAGAAAAAATGGCTAATTGGGCTGGATTTGGGGGTCTGTTAAAATGCAGTTGGCAGAAAACTATACCAGCATAAAATTTTCTGTCACTACTGCCAGTATCTATTCTGCACTGGTTGCTTGTTTTGGCTGGAAGCCAAATAGCGGTGCCCTTATTTCATGTCTGCAGGGTGATTCAACAAAGTAATTGGTAAAACCTTATTTATGACTTTGTTGCCCTCTGACTTTTCACCAACCAGCAGCAACAGCCAATCATAACAGTGATGAAAAGATGGGGCTAGGACAGGTGGCAAGCTAACAAGTGGCTCTTTTGATATATGTGCTAAAGGAGGAAAGTGCTGAGTGCAGTGGTGGGATTCAGCCAGTTTGCACCACTTGGGCAGAACCGGTAGCTAATTTTTTGTTGCTCAGACCAGAACAGACTTCCAGAAGCGGGATCCACATAGAGAACAGATTGTTCACATATTTGAATCCCACCACTGGCTGAGTGCATCTGTTCAGTGGTCTTCTGGAGATGGTGAGTTTTGACAAATGGCTAGGAGGGCTTTGGTCTGTTTCTCAAAACTTATTCCCTTTGTAAAGCTGAACATGGAAGCAGCCTCAAAGCTATATCCAGTTCTCCATGGACATAGGGAGAAGTGGGGAACCCAGAAGGTGGAGGTAGAGTGTGCCCAGTAATTGATAGGCATGTCCCCAGATCAGCCTGAGCTGGCTACTAATCCTAAATTGATCCCATCTCCCCATAGTTCCCTGACTCTGTTGCCAACAGAATGGTTGGTGAACGACATAATATTTTAAGCATTTTGAAACAACCGTGGGTTGCTATTAGTTTAAAAGGAAACTATTTCTTTAGCAATGGGATAGCTTACAGCTGCCTCCCATATGGGCTGAAGACAATAGGAAAGCAATATAACGGGGGTGTAGTAGAAAAAATATGTTGCCCCATATCAGGCAAATTTGTCCCCTGGTTAGATACAAGTTGGGAAATGCCTTCTGAAGAGTTCTTGTTTGCGATTTGTAGCAGCATATTTCCCTCCAAATGACAATGGAATTTTTTAATAAAAGCAGATAAGGCAAGACATTTTGGCATCTTATTAAGTTCCTCCTGCAATATAACTCTCTTCTAGTTGATATAATTATTAGTTTGATGAATATACTATAACTGAAGTTTCCAGGTCCAATTTAAGTCATAGTGACTTCCTGGACAGAACTATGAAGTTTTCTTGGCAGTAATACTGAGGTTGGCTATTTTCTTGTCAGGCTAATAACATACCCCTTCAGTAATTTTGTGATATTATTTTCACCACAAATATTATGTTTTAAATCCTTTTTAGCTTCCTCTCTCTTGAATGTTCTTGTTTAAATTAAATTAAATGTTTTAGCAGGAGATATTGATATTTAGCTTACACTGATTGCTGTTTAAAATGTAACTGTTACTAGGACAATACTGATCACATTAAGTGTATACTGTTTGCTCAATAATGGGAGTTACGTTCCATACACCATGGATACAAAACAACATTAGCACCTGTTCATCTCAAGAAAACTTCCTTTTGTGACATTGATATGCCTTGTGCACAAAGATTTGTTATTCTGCCTTTAGAATTCCAAGCAGAATCGTACATTTTGAACAAATTTTATGAAGACCACATTACAATTATGCAGCAAGTCCATAAATATCTTCCTATTCAAGAAATGTCTTTTCTCTAATGCTAGAGAGCATATGGCAAAGTGCTTCTTCAATATGAGTTGCTTGGCCCTTTTTTCAATCAGGAATAGTTGGCTACTTTTGAGCAGGATCTTTTCAATCAGGAATAGTTGGCCCTTTTTTCAATCAGGAATAGTTGGCTACTTTTGAGTTGTATATTCACATGATTGTATATGCACAAGATGTGGTAGTGAGAAAATGTCTCAGAACAAAGGGCAGCACTTCAGCTTGATGAAGCCAAAACTAAGCTATTTTACTATACCTATCAGAGGAGAATAACTAGCTAGTAATTATCAGTGATAGAGTTCAACTACATCCGCTTTCATTGCAGGAAATGATGATAAATGTACAGAAGAATGCTGAATATGAATGGTGTAATTTGTAAGCTATTATAAAGAGCTGTGACTAGGACCTTTCATTATAAAGTCCTTTATGACTGAAAGCTGGACTGGAGTTCACAATCTTCTGGTTTTTAGGCCAACATTTTAACCATTCCACCAAACTGGCTCTGAGATCTGTCACTCAATGTCACTCATCCATTTTTCAGCCATTCTCTTAGCCCAAACCACTTACACAGTTGTTGTTGGGGAGAAAATAGAAGGAAGTAGTAGGTACATTCACCACCTTTAGTTACTAATAAAAGCAATAAATCCAGATTAAAAAAAAATCTAGTAAAAATATGTGAGGGGCATTATTTTGTTCTATTGTTTTCTGTTAACAGTAAGACATGAAAAAATACAGTAATACAAGTGCTTATAATAAAGACACCTATTAATACCACTATAGCCATAAAACAGAAGCAAAACATTCTGGCTCTATCCTTCCAATGATATCATGATGCTCACTGCAATGTCCCGTATAAAGCTTGGTCATGGGAAGAATATCTCTGCAACGTATTTTCTTTTAAAAAATGTGACCATTGATTTAAAAACAATGTTGTATTATCAACAGTTATGACACTTTTTGTGCACATCTAATTATATATTTCAAGATACTGTTTTATTTTTGCCCCCTTTTCTCACTGCTCTCTTTACAGTGTGGGCATTTCACTGACATCCACAGACCATAATACTCCAAGCATTTTTCAAATGTGCAGAATCAAAATCAGCATGTAAGTTATGACAGAAAGTCAAGCAATAAAAACCTAACACAGGAGGATGAAGGAAATGGCATGAACCTTTAGTTATTGTTTAAAGCGATCTCATCAATGTTGTTATTCAAGTATTCCTTAGTATCTAGATCAACAGGGAATTTATTATACATATAGAAGAAGCTAAAGGAAGTATAACCTTAAAATAGGGACTGTGTTAGAGAACAAAAATGGCATGAAGGAAGGGGGAAGGGGAAAGAGTTGTATGGGAGTGAAATAAAATTGTTCTGGACAAATAACAAACAGTAACATATTGAAAGTTTACATCCATTAGCCTGTTTCCAATAATGCCACACACACACAAGGGTTTTATCTCCAATGGAGTCTGCTTTAAGTTGAAGCCAGGTGACCAATTTCTTTCCTAAAGTTCTGTGTATGCTCTCACTTGATTTTCCAGTTCTGAGACTTGAAACATATTAACAGAAGACAGGCAAATCCAGACTAGCTTGTTTACTGTTTCTTTAACATTCTGTCTCAGTCCAAAACTAGACATGCTAAAAAAAAAAAAAAAAAAAAAAACCAGGAAAAAGCTATCCTCCAATCACACTTGGGCAAGATTACAAGTGCAGAGAGCTGCATTTAGGGAATGTTTAGAAATGCAGAGAGCTGCAACGTGGAATTCTTTCAAGCCAGGTCAATGTGAGTGTATGAAATTAATTTTGTCCATTTCCAGAATAGGCAGTTTTCCATCGGACAGAGGCCGGAGGGCGAGGGCTTTTTCTTGCCCCTGCATTTGCTCTCGAAGGCATTTGATTTCTAGTCGCTGCATTTGAATTATTCTCTCAGTTTCCTCTTCAAGATTCAAACGCAGAATGCCTGGACTTAGCTGCCGATCTGGGGAGGGACCTAGATGAACAAAGAAGTCAAAAGTCAATAGAAGTCGTAGACATGATTATGGGGATGCTGCAAAGGTCGTAACTGTGAAAAACAGTCATAAATCACTTTTTTCAGTGCCGTTGTAACTTTTAACCGTGACTACATGAACTATTGTAAGTCAAGGACTACCTGTAGAGTATTTGGAAACTCAAGAGAAAACAGTGGAAAAATACAGATGCTGCTATATATGAAATGATATAAGAAGAGTTGTGCTTACATTATCTAATAAATTGTATTGATTGGTTATTAACTAAGTTTTCATTTTTGGCATCTGGAATGTTTGCACATGTTGCATTCCAGAATACCACTTTATACATTCTATAGCATTAAGGTTCCAACATAATTGGCTCTGGAAGTGCTTCCAACTGGTAACACACTAGAAATGCATAGTTGCTGAAAGACTTCAGGGCTGTAGACTGTTGGGTGATCCATGATTAATGAATCCTTTTGGATAACTTAAAATGAAGGAAGAGTCTAGTCTACTAACCATCATGTTCTTACAGGACATGACAAATTGTCCTTCATGGATAAGAGCCAATTTCAGATTCTTTTCTGAAGTTGTAACGATAAAGGAAATTATTTTTCGACCAGATATCAAAACTAATGTCAAGCTGTTTAAACAATTTTCAAGGGTGCATCTTACTTAAGGGTGCAATTTAAGTAGTCATTGTAAAAATGATACTCTGGAGAGCAAAAAAGTTGAAAGTGAGCGCCTTCACTTTCTGCCGCAAGCGGCGTTACCTTCTTGATTTATGCAAGATGTCACATCACAT